CCTTCTCTGGAGACTTTCAAGACTTGTCTGGGTCTTTCTCAGTGATCTGCCCTAGTTTTTTTTCTGGTCTTACTCTGGCAGGGGGGTTGGGCTCAGTGATCTCTGGAGGTCCTTTCCAACCCCTAATATACTGTGTTTCTGTGGTGCTGTGACTGTTGATCCTATAAGTGGCATAGCAAGGCCTGAGGCCACCCAGTGATAGTGGGACTTTGAAAGGGGTGCCAGGGCAAGGTGAGCGCCAGCAAGAGCTTTCAGGCCTTGCACCTTGCACTTGGGAGGAATGGCTGAATGCTTTCAATTTGGTAGCTGGGCTTTGGCAAGAATGTGAAAAGGAGGGAACAGACTACTGAACCTTTAGGTGTCAAGGCAAGCCTGAAGCATCAGTGTTGGTGAGGCTTTGGAAGAGGTTCCAAGGGAAGGTGAGGACCAGGACCAACTTTCAGGGCTTGCACTTTCCATTTGGGAGCAATGTTTGGATGTTGTCAATTTTACAGCTGGATTTTAGCTGAGAGCAAGGTAATGAGGGAATGCTTTAGATAGCAAGGCAATCCTAGAGACCTAGTTTCAGTGGTGTTTTTGAAGTGTTCCTGGGGAAGGTACATGGCAGAAACAGTGTGTGGGCAACTGAATGCCCAGCATGTGCATTCCGTCCTGGCACCATCTGTCTACACCTTTTCTTTTTTAAAGTAAGGATATTTCTGTAAGGCAGGAAAAGAGATGGTGATGTTAAGTGGCTAGGAAGTGCAGAGCTGCTGTGTTCATAGTTGTAAACACTTCTAGGAGAACAGTAAAGTTATCAATTGCGTTTCGCCCCAGCACTCCCTTGTGAGAGCTGTTGGTGCAAGTTTTCACTCTGTGAGCAGCGCTCTCACTAGAAGGTGTAAAATGCAGCAGACAGTAATAGAACTCAGCAAGCTCACCCCCCTGTAATGCAATACTCCATAATCCAGACCCAAAGACAATATTTGAAATACACATAGTGCTGATCCTCACTGGGCACTAGAACTCTACATACTGCTCCTGGCCCAGGGAGTCCTAAACATGGTGATACATGTAACAACATACATATAACAGCAGGAACTGACTGTTGTAGCCCAATATGCTTAAAAAATTACCAACTTTCAACTTCAGTTACAACCTGTTAATTTGCCCTACTCTCAGGGCAGAGGAATCACTACACATATGTTTGCAGCTACTGTACACCCCGTACTGTCCCCTCCCAGCAACATGAAGTACGACTACTAATCCTAAAGAAGTAGATTCTTGGCCTAGAAAACTTCAAACCACTTATATCTGGCTGAGAAGACAAGGGTTAAATGTAGGATGGAAAGAACATCAAGATCAGTGGGAAGAAAAGGTAAAGACAGGGCTGAGTGAAACAAAATTTGGAGCTTTCAAACCCTGTTGCTTTCTAACCCTCCTCACCAAAGTACGAAGCTAGGTGTGGCTGGGTAAAGTTACTGAGATAAAAACCCTACAAAAACCAAGCTGTTATTGAGCAGGCATCCTTTATTGGCAGTGCTGGGCAACACTGGGGATTGTTCCATCATAAATGGTCAAATAAGTTATCAAAATGTCCCAACTAGTATACACAAAAAAACCATGCATATTCAGTTCTATTCCAATGAGTTCCCAAGATAATTTTACATAGTAATATTTTTTTTCCTGGAACTAGTTATCTTTGTAATTATGCATGCTCGAGGGTCTCCTGTGGGGGTCTTTGTTGATTTTAGTCTTTTGTCTTCTAAGTCCTGTCTCCCCTGGTCTCAACTAATTTCCAACTGTTTTGTTATCTGTTTACCATGTAAAAGGCCTGAAGATTGCCCAAGTGGCTCCAGAATCAACATGACCATATGATGGACTATTGTGTGTTGGCTTGACAGATCTTAGAAAACTTGATGTTATCACAACATGCAGGATCCTTGACACAATTGACTGACAGTTGCACAAAGCAACTGCTTTAAAAGTAAAAAACTTATTTTAAAAGTAACACAAGCTTAGTTTTAGTTAATTTCTATTAGGCTTAATTCTATATTTCTATTAAATCTACTAACAAGTATTCTACAACTATCACAAGGACAAGGGAGCATGTGGAACTCTGTCCAAATTAGTAATAACATATGGAACCAATTCTGGAATTTTCTTAATCACAGTTGCTTAGCTAAGCAACTTTGATGATTTTTTTTTTTTTTTAATTAGTGCTCTGTAACATAAACAGGTCATGCCCACTCACTTTCAATTTTACTATCATATGTTTAATCAATGAAACATTAGACAAAAGAGCATGAGTTAAGAAGACATGTCATGGTTTGGGTCTAACATGACAACAAAGAAACAGCCCCATGGCCACTCACTCAACTCCTCCACCTTCCTCCCCCCAACCTCCTCCAATGCACATATTGGAATGGAGAGGACTAAGGCCAACTAGAAGCTCATGGGTCGAGACAAAGGGCAAGGGTTCTTCTCCAATTAAGGTCATGGACAAACCAGACTCAACTTGGGAAAAAATAATAATTTAATTTAACACTAATCAAATGAACACAGAACACAAGAAAAACAAAGAGCAGTGCCTGCATATGTTACACCCACCCCTCCCTTCTTCCACCAAGCAGCACAGGGGGCACAGGGGATGGAGTTTCGAGTATGGGGTCTGGTGTTTCCTGCTGCTCCTTCATCCTCAGGAAGAAATATTCCTTACAGTCCACCCCTGCTTCCCCATGGGGTCCCTTACATGGGAGACAGTCTTCCATGAACTTCTCCTTCATGAGTCCTTCCCACAAGGTCAAAAGGAAACTGCTCCAGTGCGGGCTTCCCATAGAGTCAGGGGCTGCTTCAGGAACAGCCACCTCTCCTATCACCAGGGTCTTTCACAGCTGCATAATCCAAGTCCACTGGCAGCAAATTCAAGTCTACCCCCCCCTGCCCCCTGGCACCTTCCATTCCTCAGGGAATGTTCCATCACATTCCTCCATGAATGCAGGGGCACAGCTGCAGGGAAATTTCCGCTTGGGCACCTTCTTCAGCTTCTTCCTCACCAAGCACGGTCAGCCCTCTGCCTCTCCAGCTCAGCTCTTCCTAACTGCTTGCTCTGCTCAGGTCTTCTCTCAGTTATTTCTTATGTTAATCACAGAGGTGCATGTACTGTCTCTCTAAAGGCTCCTTGGCTTCAGCTGGGGAAGCTCTTAAACTTCTTACAGTAACCTCCCATGGGACCCCCTCCTCCACCACCAAAAAACCCACCAGACCAGCACAAGACATAAAAAAATAATTTAAACACATGCTGTGGAACCTGTAAGCTCAGATTAGTACCCTGTCCATAATTTTTTTTTTTTTGTAAACTGTGTTAAGAGCTGCTTTCATATTTTTATTGTGGTTCAACAGAAAGCTTCACAAACCAGCACTGTCTAAATGAAGAATGTTTATTCCTTACCTTATCTCATCATCTGAGGATGATGAGATCCAGTATTATTTCAATGAAGCTGTCTTTGTTATCTTAATAATTATCTTTAATACTGCCATGACACCTCAACTCCTGCTACAACATTCATTTCAGTGATGTTTGATCAAGTTTTGTTCAACTGTTAAAGTGTATTTAATGGCAAAGTGATGGACATTAACCTGAGTATCATTGTTCGGTTTTGGGGTTTTTTTTAATCACCTACAAGCTAATAAGGTTGGTACATTAGAGCAGTTTGGGCTGTGGCAGAGTTTACAAAGGCTGTGAGGAGGTTTCAAGTTGGTTCACGATAGGTAAGTTTTCCTAATATATTTCTCTTTTGTCTGTCTGCGGTATCAGGAGTGAGACACTGCATATATTATGACACTTGCCTACTTGCTGTGGGATTCTTCCCCCATTATAGTGCTCTCTCTGGATTTGTTTTGTGATCCTGCTGCTGCATCTTGACTCCCTGTTGACCCATTTTCCCATGTTTCAACATGCTGTGTGTGAGGGTCTGGGGTTGTGTGTACTCTGCTACTCAAACACATTTCTTGCAGGTGATTCTTCCAGGCACCTCTTCTAATTCTTTAGCAGATCAACACACAGTCATGGCAGAAGGAAGTATTTTATGCAGGTAAACTTCTAGTTAGTCAGCTACCTGTTTTGTCCCTTTTCCAAATTTCTGAAATTGTCATTGAATCCATTTTGCCCCATGTTTTCTACGCTAGTCTTTTTTGCATTATTATGACTGTCCTAGACTTTGTTTAAAACAGCTGAAAGCAACACTTGATATTCTATCAGCCAAGAGACTGATTGAACAAAGGAAGCAATTTGAGGCACTTGCCTGCTGACATCACAAACATGGTGTGTTCTCAAACACCTTTGTAAAATAGGCTTTGCAGGAACTTCAGCAACCCTCTTAGGTTGCTTTATATTGCTGGGGGAAGTCACAGGAAATACCCTGCTGTCAGCCAACAATTTGGTTTGCTGCCTCCTAGTTACAGAACATTACTCCCCACTAGCACAATGTATTAGACAAATTCTGTAGTTATCCTTGCAAAAGCAGGTTTATTGTGCTTTCCTCTGCATAAGAAAGAGAGGCATAGACATACATGGAGGTTGTTATACATCCCTCACTGTTGGGAATCTACTGTATAAAACAGACTGGTGAATTCAGAAGGCCAAGGGCAAAACCAACTTTTTTTTTTAGGTGAGGATATGTGTGCAACCTTTGGAACATCCTGCCTTTTTTGTAGGGCTGCAACACTCACTGACAAAGCCAGAGGAAATTATAAGAAATCAGTAAAACTTTTTCACGTGTTGTTTTACTGAGAAACAAAGTGTTTTGTGTAAAATAATAAACTATTAAGGGTTCTCTCCTCTTTAGAGAGCAAGTAATGCTTATGTAAGTGGTATGCACTCGCTACAGTATAGTTAAAATACCTCAGATGATCAAGGGTATTCAAACAAGTAAATTCAGATTAGAAATTAGTAGACTGATCAATGAAGTTGCAGAAGAGACTAAATTAACTCCTGGCTTGATAGAGCATATAATCAATACTTAACTACTTTTGTTAAGAGATGTAGTAAGTTTTTCTAAAGTCTCTTTGAATGACTTGATCAAGTAAGCTCCCAGTTCATTGTTTGTCTCTTGAACAGCTGCATCATAACTGCCAAAGAGGGGAGTTGAAGCCTTCACATCCTCCCTATTTGCTTTGAGTAAAATGAGGTTAAGCTCCTTTACTACATCTTCATATTTTTGGTGATCAAACCTGCAGAGACTGGCATCATCAATTGGGTAGGTGATGCCAATAGGATAGCAATCCCTTGGGACTGGGAACTCCACATTTTTCAGCATTGGCAACTCACAGAGAAATGTGAAAAGGTGTTTCAGTGCTTGGGATGTCAGTGGGTTTCCAAGAAACTTAAACTCCTGTAGTTTCTGACAAGAGCTTAAACCTAAAATCAACATGTTGACATGAATGTCTTGGATGTTGCAGTCCTCCAAGGTAAGACTCCTTAGCACTGAAGAGGAATGGCTGAGAAGCTTAAAGAATATTGATGAGTAAAAGTCAGGTATATTGTGACCACTCAGGTCCAGGGTTTCTAAGTGATTAGCGTGGAAGCTGTTGGCTAAATATGTCATATCAGCATGGTTCAGTGAGCAGTTAGAAACATCGAGTATCTTCAGTGGAGTTTTTAGTGGACTGCAGATTAAAGAGAAAAGGAGTTTTATGACATAAAACATTTAAAAGCTACATTTACAAAATCTCACAAATTGTCCACATTATGAATGCAGACATGCACCACAACCTCTTTTGAGAAACAGAAGCATGAAGCAACAATAACTTTATCCTTTATCCTTTGTCCTTTATCGGTGGCTGCTACTTGTAGAAATCTGTTGTAATTCCAGAGATGTAGATAATTTCTGTTAAGGAAGTATTCATATCAAGGTAAGAGCCCATCTAACAAAACACCAGATTTTGTTTCTAGTTTTGTTTTTAAATGCTCAAGAGGTTTACATGTTGTACTGTTCTGGAATTGCAAAGAGACCTTCTGATGAACTAGAAGGCTGGAAGATGTGTACCTGAGATTCTATGCATATATTATAGTTGAATATAAAATAGGTCTGACAGATGAAGATCAAGAGATCCCTTTCATACATACTGAATTTTAGTGAGATTTCTGCCACAGATGTCAACTGGATCAAGGTTAGAAACTTGTGGTTTGCTTTTCTCAACATGAGCAGTAGGCAATTCAAAACTTTTAAATTAGTTATTTCATTGCACCGGAGGAATTGCAGACCAAGTAAGGCGGTAAGGCAGGAAGGCAGGAAGGCAGGCAGGAAGGCAGGCAGGCAGGCAGGAAGGCAGGAAGGCAGGAAGGCAGGAAGGCAGGAAGGCAGGCAGGAAGGCAGGAAGGAAGGCAGGAAGGCAGGAAGGCAGGAAGGCAGGAAGGAAGGCAGGAAGGAAGGAAGGAAGGAAGGAAGGAAGGAAGGAAGGAAGGAAGGAAGGAAGGAAGGAAGGAAGAC